ATATCTTATTAAGGATAAAATTATAATAATAACCTTACTTTTTATATAATATTATAAAAAGTTTAATTTTTAAGGAGTTATTATAAGTAAAATATATATTAAAGTAAGATAATATTATAATTAATTAAAAGAGAATTTATAAATTATATTAATATATTATTTTTCTTATCTTAAAAGGCTTTTTAATTTATATTTTTCTAATATAAAGTATATATATTTTTTAAGGTTTATTACTTACCTTATTATATAACTAATCTAATATTTTAATAATAATTTTTAATAATAGCCTCTTTTTAATATTAAAATATAGTTATTTTTTTATTATAACTAGTAATTAAAGTATTAAAGTCTATAAGGAGATAGAAATAAACTATAATATTATCTTTTCTAAGTTCTTAAGGTCTAAATTCTACTTATAATATAGCTAAAAGTAACTAATACTAATTTTTATTAATAAAAAAAGAGATAATTCTAAAGAAAGGCTATTAACTAATAACTTATTATATAATACTTTATTATTATTATCTTAGTAAATAGTAAGTATACCTTCTTACTTAAGAGCCTATAATAAGCTTAATAATTTCTTATTATTTTTAAGATATATATAAAAGGCTATATAAAAGTATTATACTCCTTTACTAGTTAACCTATAAGTATTTAAATATAATATTTAAATTTAAGTAAATATATTTCTTTTAGTTATTAAATATAATAATAATATCTCTTTAATCTAAAAGAGGGTTTAACTAAGTATATTATTTATTATAATATTTAATATTAAACTAATAAACTAAATAATACTAAACTTATTTACCTTTAGTAATATAAATATATATTTAAAAAGTATATAATAATCTTATTTTAATAAGTAAAAGATTATATTTTTTTAAGTTATAAAAAATATTAATAATATAATTAAGAAATTAGCTTAATTTAGATAAAAGTAATTAAAATTATAAAGCTTTTATAAAAGCTATATAATAAAGAATATACCCTTTTTAATCTTTTTATATATAGAGAAAACTTAAGTAAAAATAATATTAGCTAGTATATTTAAGATAAAAAGGTTATTATTTATATTAACTTTAAAAAAAAGAAGATAATCTAGTATATAAAATAGAAGTTATTATTAAAGGTTAAGACTAAGCCTTTAATAATTATAATAAAGAATTTTAAGTTAATATTATAATCTTTATATCTTTTTAGTCTAGAAGATAATAATAATAATAAAGATAGTAGAGGCTATTTTATTATACTAATACTAACTTAGGCGCCCTTATTATTACTATTACTACTACTAATTAAAGAGCTTTAACTAGTATTAGAGATAAGGCTCTTTATATTATTAATACTAGTACTAATATTAGTACTATTATTATTATTATTACTAGTACTATTATAAACTTAAGTATAAGCTTAATTATAACTAGAAGACTACTTTACCTTATAAACTAGGTATATTAAAAAGTAGTATTATATAAGAAATTAATTAGACTATATTAATAACCTCTTAAAGATCTATTTAATTAAAGAATTTATCTAGTAGTTAGTTATTAGAGAGTATAATACTAGGCTTAAAGAATTTATTATTATATTATAAAACCTTATATTATTTTATTATTAGATTAATATTCTTAAATATAGATTAATAAGATAATTAATATATATTATTTTAATCCCCTTATTAATATAGATTAAATACTAAGGGTAGGCTTTATATAACTTATAATATATTATTAAATTTATTCTTAAAGAGTTAGATAACTCCTTATAAAGGGCTATATATATAACTTATTAAGATCTAATAATCTTAAGTAACTAAGCTCTTTAAGGGTATTATTATATTATTACTAGATATAAGGTATTAAAAAGCCCTTAATCTTAATATTCTTAAGTAGTAAGAGTATATTATTAAAGGTATTATTTACTATATCTTTAATAGATATACTTTAATTTTATATATTATTTTTATAGTAAATATTAATTAGGCTATTAATAACTAGCTTTAGGTAATTCTTTTAATATTAAATTTAATAAGAATTTTATATATTAATAAAGGTATTAAACTTATCTTAGAGAATTAAGGTATATACTATATATAATATAATCTAATTAGTAAGATTATCTTTAATAAAGAAAGTTATATTAAAGAGCTTATAGAAGAATTAAATCTATTAGTTAAAAGCTTTATTTTAAAGTTATAACTATTATAACTTAATATAGATATTTAATATACTTTTATTATATATATAATATAATTTAATATAATCTCCTTAGTAATACTAATAGGAATTCTTATTTTTATTTATATATTAGAGCTTTATTAATACTAACTTAATAAGAGATACCTATACTACTACCTAAAAAGGTATTTCCTACCTATAATCTAACCTTATAAAATATAGTTATATTTTAAGACACTTAATATAATTAAAATATTACTTAAATATTAAGAGTATTATAGTTATTAATTAGTTACTAAAGAACTAGATAATTACTTAAGAGTATATATTAATATAAGTATATATCTAATATCTAAACTAAGATAACTTCTTATAACTATTAAGGTATTATAAGAAGTTTAGTCTTAATATTAAGAAATTATAATAATAGTAAGTATTTTTAACCTAATAATATTTAACTTCCTCTAAAAAGGCCTCTTAATAGAGGTTATATAGCTGATTTTTTAATACTAGAATCTACCCCTTTATATATATATAGTTATATAAATAACCTTATTTAAAGTTTAGTACTAAAGAGGTTTTTTAAAGGTCTTTATAAATAAATTTAATTATATAATTAAGGGTATCTTTCTACTTATTAAGATCTTAATATTACTACTTTAATCTAATATTAAGCTATAGGTGTTTTATAGCCCTTTTAGAAATATTAAATTAATTATAAATAAAGAGATTTTAAGTAATAAATTTATTACTATACCTATATATATAAAAATAATATTAAATTTACTTAAGTAGTTACTTATACTTATTATCTAAGAGGCCTTATTCCCTAATCTTATATTATAATATATAATAATTAACTTTAGGTTATTAGTACTTAATAAGTAATATATTTAGCCTCTCTAATATCTTAAAGATTAATATATAAGAAAAATAAAGGGCTATAATATACTTATAATAGCCTTTAATAATAATATCTAAGCTAGGCTTTTAGTCTTAAATCTACTACTAAAAGGTATAAATATTAATTAACTAGCCTCTTTTATTATAAAAAATTATCTAAATAAAGTTATATATTTTAATAATAAATATATTTTTTATAGCTTTACTAGAATAAAGTTATATATAGGCTCTAAGTTAATAACTAGTTAAGGTATAATAATAATATATAAGTTCTTTTATTTAAGTAAAATAAAATAAGCTCTTAAAAAACGTTATTTAAGCTAGCCTTTATTATACTTAGGTAGAGGAATTAGATATAATATATATACCTAAGTAAAGTAATTAGGTATATATATATATATATTATAATATAATTACCTTTAATATTATAAAGTAATTACTTTTATTACCTAACTAATTTATAATATTATTAACTTTACTTATTTATTATATAATAGCTTAAGCTTAGAATTACCTAAAAATTATAATATTATCTATTTAGTTATTAATTATCTATATATTAAAATTTTAATTAATTTAAAGTACCTTTTTATAAGTTATTTATAATTAGAAATATTATATTATTATTATATTAGGTAAGTATATAAGGCTAATCTTTATTACTTACCTTATATATTATAAGCCTAGTAGTAATCTATATAATTAGCTTTTAATAGTAATACTAAGATAACTACCTATTATAGAAAGATAAAATTATAACTATTTAATTATTTAATTAAATCTTATTTTTTTAATATATAAATTATAAGGTATAAGGCTATATTTTATCTTATAGTATAGGTTTTAAAATAACCTATTATTTAATAGCTAAAAATATAAAATATCCTTTAATTTTAATAGTATAATTAACCTTACTAATAATAAAATAAGGCTATCTATTTAGAAAATAAATAATAAATTAACTAAAATAGCTAAAGAAAAAATAAAATTATAATTTAATTATTTTATAAATTAAAAGCCTATATATTTAAAATAACTTTTTAAAATTTAGTTTTATTATAATTTTATTATATTAGTTAATTAAGTGTTAGTTAGCTAGTTAGCTATTAAGTTTATTAAAATTATTATATATAATAATACTAGTAAATACTAAAAAATATATATTATAAGAGAGTTCTTTATATATTAAAATAACTTATTATTCTATTACCTAAGAAGTAACTTAAAAAAAGGGCTATATAGTAAAATAAAATAATATATATATTCTATTTTTATTATATTATATACTTAGCTTAACTTATAAGTTTTCTATTTATAAAACCTAGGTTATTAGCCTATTAAGAATTAAATTAAACTACTTTATCTTCTAATAAGATTATTTAAGGTATTTATTTATAATCTAATTATATATTTTTTACTAGGCCTAGTTATATTATAATATCTAAAAAATAA